TTAAATAATAAAATCTGCTGTCACACAATTTGAACCCAAGACCCTGGGATTAAAGGCCTGTTTAAACGATAAAAATCTAAAAAGCAATTGTTTTTATCGTTTTTCCATGATTATGACGTCATTTGAATTATGTCAAAATATGTAGTTATTGTATACACGGTAAATCGTTATCGAATCGACCTAGGGTAAAATCTTCTCGTATTTCTTTTATTTTCTATATAAACAATTGCTTTTTAGCTTTTTAGCGTTATCGTTATCGTTGCAAGTATAAACAATAAACAGGCTTTAAGACAATCATCAGCTCCATTCCACTTTATTCTTATATATTGTACAACTTATAATCTATTTGTTTTGTGCAATGTGTCATTTATTCATTCATTGAGGCAAATGCCAGACTATATTCAATTCTCTCTGAAGGCCACGATTCCATTGAGATATTTTATGTTAAATTGGGGAGGTGAGGTTGCTTCTGATACGTAAAGCAACATAACTGGCATTCGATAATTTAAGCTGAACACTATTCTTTCTAAATAAAGTACAAACTTGAGTCGGTTTAGATTAGTCCAGAAATAAGGTGGACGTATTATAAAAACTCTCTTTCTATACGCCGGGCAACGGGCAGATTATGATAAATCATGTTCGTCTTCGTTTCACCAAAGACTTTATTCAATTCTCTCTGAAGGCCACGACTCTAGTAAGATATTTTATGTTAAACATTGGGCCAGGGGAGGTTGCTTATACGTAAAGCAACATAACTGGCATTCGATAATTTAAGCTGAACGCTATTCTTTCTAAATAAAATACAAACTTGAGTCGGTTTAGATTAGTCCAGAAATAAGGTGAACGTATTATAAAAACTCTCTTCTATACGCCGGGCAACGGGCAGATTAAACATAAATTATGTTCGTCTTCAGTTTCACCAAAGACTTTATTCAATTCTCTCTGTAGGCCACGACTCTAGTAAGATATTTTATGTTAAACATTGGGCCAGGGGAGGTTGCTTCTGATACGTAAAGCAACATAACTGGAATTCGATAATTTAAGCTGAACGCTATTTTTTCTAAATAAAGTACAAATTGGAGTCGGTTTGGATTTAGTCCAGAAATAATGTGGAATTATTATAAAGACTCTCTTTCTATTACATACGCCGGTCAACGGGCAGATTAAACATAAATTATGTTCGTTCGTCTTCAGTTCACCAAAGTTACACATATTACATAATTTAAATTGCTCTTCGTCACTCGGGTTATTGACTTTCATGTTATGGCATCCTATCCTTAAGAGTGAGATGCATCTCCTATGCTTTAAATTAGAAATTTCATAAATATATTTGTCAGTATTATAAAAATCATTTCTTATATCAAGGTAAAAAGACATTTTACGTGAACCGTTGGGTGTGCCCAGGATTGTAAATAATGGTCTTGGAGTCTATTTCCATGAATATTCCAATAAAACATTACGCTTTAGCTAAACTAGACAAAGCCCAATCCGAATTTAAATGAATTTCTTTCGAGTTATAGTTATGGTTAAAAACTTTTTAGATAGGCAATGGTGTTTTTTTTTTTAAATTTTGATCTATAAGATTACAAACAATCAATACTAACCACCTTACAATGGTGACAGGTAGAGGGTGGGGTTGGTAAACGAGGAGAGCATAGTGGTTGTTCTGTCAAATGGAAAACAAATGTAGGATGAATATAATGCTATAACAAACGCATATCATCGGACTCGAAATTTCAGACTTTAAAAAATGGTATGCAAAACATCACTTATTAAGAAAAATAAAATACCACGCACAATCCAAAAAGGCTAGGCAAATCAATGTTGTGTAATTAAAAACTATTAGAAACATTGCGATTCGAAACCAACTAAATCAATACAGAATATGTCTGCTTCACAAATATATATATCGTATCATAATATATATATATAAATCATCAAAGAAAGGTAAATACAGTGTTCGAATAAAGGACTTAATAAATACATCGTGTAGCATAGCTCTCAACGAATGTAGTCCTGTAAATAAATGAATAAAGAAATTGTGTAATAAAATTCCTCTCGCGGGACTCGAACCTGCGAACTCTCGCTGTCAAGGCGAGTGTCATAACCACTAGACCACTGAGGCTTCATGGTTGAACAGATTCAAATACCACCAGATACACTCCATTACACAATAGGTACGGCTAGAAACAAATAGGTGCATATAACATAAATCAAGGTAGACGTTAACACTGTTAAATCATATTATAAATCATCAAAGAAAGGTAGATACAGTGTTCGAATAAAGGACTTAATAAATACATCGTGTTTATATATATAAATACATCGTTATTCGAGCATTTACGGATTATGCAGAAAATAAAATAATAATAAATTCAAATAAAAACAATTCAAGTACAGGGTTTTGCTGTTAAGGCCAACTCAGACAGTGTCATGTGATGCAGAACAACTGCACTTATGCTCATGTTGGGTCAGTGTGAGTTAAGTCATCACCGTTTTCACAAAGAGACACAAACTTCAAGTTCGACTAAAACGTTTTGAGAAAAACATGTTTGAAGTGGACTGCTTCACAAACTAAATTTCACTATGAAGATATCAAAATTTTTTTACGCATGTTTAAAGGTAAAGCATTAAACAATTAAAATGTTCAAATAATTTTTCTTTTCTTAACCTGTTAATTAGCATGAAATTTTGTGCCTCATTTTGAAAACGAAAAAGATCATTTTACATGCTGTACACGCTCCGTCGTCGGACACAAAATGTATTTTAGCCTATGCATTAATTACCATTGTAGTCAAGGGTGATTATAGGCCCAGAAACTAGGCTTATCCTGCTTCTGTCTCTTATACACATCTAGATGTGTATAAGAGACAGCGCTCAAAGTATTGTATATTCATTGTAATGGTTTTGTTTTATTAATAGGTCTACCTGGAAATTGAATAAAATAAATAAAAATAAAATATATAGCATAGCGCTGTTGAGATATTGTTTTTGGAGGTGTCAATGTGGAATTGTTTCCTCACGATTCTTTATTATACAATACTTACTTGTGTAGCAAAAGCATAATATCAATTCAAGGGTTTTATATTGAAAGTCTGTCGTTAGAAATACCACTAGCCAATAGTACAGTGAGTGATACCTGGCCGAAAATTTGCTTAGGTCCGACCAATCAAAATGAAGGTCATTGCTTAAGCCAAATCCGAAGCCTAATTTGCATACATCACCTAATAATGTATACGAGCCATTTGACTTCAGTTGATAGCGGAGGCGATGAGGGTAACAAATCATTGTGTTGAAAACGGATACGATATATTAAAATTGAATTGCGTAGAGCATTGTTGGTGACATTGAATTTGCTCTTTGTTGATATACTGTCCAGCAGCTGTTTTAATGCATGAATGTTATTTGGTTGACGATTTCATTATATTTTATTGTATTTGTTTCGAACTGCAATTTATGATAGAATTTCAGCATTTCGTTTTTTTTGTATATTTTATATACCCTCAAAGTATTTTATTCTCATTGTAATGGTTTTGTATTAATAGATCTAAATGGAAATTGAATAAAATAAATAAAAATAAAATACCACAATTTTGAGTGAATTCTAATTTAGAGGCATAAGCAGAGCAATGTATAAAACACATTAACATTAAAAATTAACAGGACATAACATGTTTTGATGAACCTAGGCCTAAATTTTTAGAAAAATCTCAAAATTAGGGACCATTAGCTTTTGGAACATATACCGTAAAAATAGGCTAAGCAGAAAAAATACGATTTTGAATGTCTTTTAGGTTAATGCTTCAAATGGCGTCCGCAAAGATTACAACGCTGACCTAATTATCATCATTCCTGCAACAGCAGCCAGGCTTTGCATCCTGACGTTGAATGACTCTTCCATTTTCAGCCAATTAGAGTAGATATATACGCAGAGTGGGAAAACAAAAGATGAAAAAGATGGGGTAATACTACAGTACTGCGTAGCTGATTGACTTTGATAATGAATAACGTCAGTAAACATTAGGCATCAAATTTGTTGGTAGGACGTTATACCCCTCTTGGCCAAAATCTAATATTGAATATTCCATTGCATTTTAGACGTTGTTATGACAACCTGGGGAAAAACTTAATTTTATCAAAATTTTTGCTTAAACGATAATTTAGGTCTGGAACCTAATTTCTCGATGGTACCCGAATTTTCGTGACACCTACCTCAGCCTCATTTCACTATCTTGAATTAAGACACTGTTAAGCAATTTCTTTTATAATACCACAGACCCTATAAGGTCTTTATAGTAAGACAGACATAAAACAAATTATAACGCCTCCACAAGTCGTCAAGTATCCCTCTGGACTACAGTAACATTGTTTTAACGGCTTAGAACATGGAGGTATATACCTCCATGCTTAGAATAATTAACTTTAGGCCTATATAACCGGTTTTAGTGCATTTTATTCTGGGAAGCAATGCCGGTATCACAGGGGTGGGGGAGGAAGAATAACAATGTGACACCGGTATATCCGGCTTCGTAAGAACACTGCTTTTATAAAAAATGTAACTTTAAAAAAAAGAAAAAAAAAGTGATATATTAATATTCTAGATACTATTTCTAATAAAACTCTATTGGACAAGCAAGAGCGTGACCTGCTGAACCACTCCTACTGGACATAAATTGCTGCCGATCAATTACAGTCCCTTTCTAATATCATCATTATTCATTAAGTTGTGATCTTTTTTAAATTTTTATTTTAATCTCTCATCCTGGCCTTCGCCATGGCAAACGGCGCGAAAGTCTGAAGGCCTGAAGCGATCCGCAAGGGTTCTAGCATTGTTTGCAGTGCAAGGATTCCTGACACATTTTTACAATTGTCTCAAGTGTTTTAGTAGAAGATGATTATTTAAACATACACAACAGGTAACCCTACTACACTCTCGGAAAACAGGAAACTAACGCGGTAGATAAAACGCGTTTGCGTACTTACATCAGAGCATGATACCAAGGACACGACGTAGCAGTAATTTCCGGTGGTATCTGGAAACTGTCGGAATGGTTTCTGCAAGCGGTATTATCAATTAGACACCACCGGGAGAAGCAGCATAAACAAGGTAGGATTATTTTTTTAGTTATGAGACTTTTTTGAAATTTTGGAGTGCACTATATTATCAATATTAGACATACCACTATAGTGTCTGCATAATGATAATTCAATTTAAAGTTTTATAAACTAACATTCACCTAAAATTATCAACATGGAGTTTTTAGGCATGTCTCCGCCCGTCTGTAAAAACATCATTTTGGTATTTCTACCTATTAGTAAATAATCCCAAATCAGTACGCGGCCGAAGCAAATAGAATACTCCGAAGTTTGAAGTTTTCCGTTTGTAGGCCCTACCTCTATGTGCCTGGCCTACTGTTATTGGCCTACGGAGAAATTCGGATTCTGCGTCAACCGCCTAGATTATGTTTTATGTTTCTCTTGACGTGGTGAACATGCGGTAAAACGAAGTCGAGAAAAAAATAATTTGTATATTATCATTGTCATCATTATCATCATCATCATCAGGCTATTTCACCCACTGCTGTGGGAAGCCCTCCTCTAACATCTTCCATCTTCTTCAGTCTGATGCTATCTTGCCCAGTTTGCAGTTTCCATATATGTGGTGATGTCACCTTTCCATCTTCTTTTTTGTCGTCATGTGTGGAAAAATAGGTGTCCCAACCTCTACATAGGCCTATATATATACACTACTGTTTATTCTGTAATTAGGAGTTTACATGCTCAACATTTGATGGTCAACTTAGGCCTATATACACCAGGGAGGCCATAATTATTACAAGACAAAAAAGCTGTGATACCAATGTCACGCAGTAACAGTTTAAAACAATACCGAGGTTAAGAAGTTAGAGCTGAGGTATGATGGACGTTAAAGTTTTCACTAGAAGGACAACCGTTTTCTATCGTTTGATATGCTGATGTAACAACCTTGTTGCATTGTTCAGCCGTTGAGCTACAGGAACTGCTAAACCGATAATTTGGCCTCATCATAAAGTTTATGAAAAGATCATGTGTATCTTAACCTGCGAGTGGGTTCCTGTGTCACTTGTCATCTGATCCGTTGCCGCCCGGCCTTTTGCCATCTCGCATTTATTGCCACCCGACATTTTCCCACCCGGCCTCTTGCCACCCGATCATTTGCCACCTAGGCCAGTTGCCACCCTGCCATTTGGCACTCTAACTATACATTGGCAAAAGATTTGTTTCTGTAATTTTTTGATGAGGATCTATGCTGTGTGTGTAGTGGTAGTTAATACAAAAGTTTAACTTGAATTCTATATTTCCATAATACATTTCCTGACGAAAGACAACATCATTTAACGTTTTTCTTTTTTTTAAGTGGGGGGTTAAATCCATTTTTATTTCTTCAATTTTTCATTTTAATCCGTTCACAAATTATGATTTTCTGCATTCATGTGTTTTATACAATCATAATCAACTTAAAATCATTTTTGCACATTTTTGTGCAACTATAAAAATGTTAATGTACAATTTGTATACCTTACTAAATGAATTAATTTACATATATGTATATAATAAAAAGGAGTCAGTCGTGGCTGACTAATCCTCATAATCGCAATATATCTTACTAAATTCAATACCTGATTTCTTTGATGCAGATTTTAATTTCCATTTACCAATATAGTTTAAAGTACGTTCTTTATATAATCAAAACTTTCCAAGACTGGATATTTTATTTAAATGTTTTGTTTTTGTATCAAGCTGCTGGAAAAAGCTGGTAAATAATCAAAGTTAAACTTGTTTAAAAAAAATAAATTCCAAATAATATTTTAGCCTCTTTACAATCAACAAAATGATGTATTTCATTGGCTATTTACATCCAGTGCATAAATTGTTGCTTCATTTCATTTTCGTTTATGTATTCGACCATGCAAACTTTAAAAGGCACGACAACAAGAAACAACAACATGATGGTCAGGGACAGCTAAAACAAACCAGAGCCTTGCAGGCGTCAACGTTCCTATGCATGATACATGACTTAAAAAGTATATAGGCCCTATATATACACGTACATATATATACTACATATATATACATATATACATATGTGACAGGTTCGTACTAGCTCGTAGTCGTATCGCGTAGTAAATCCAAAGCTGCAGCGCTGGCTCAGACACAATAAAAATCAACAGAGGCCGTTCTCAGTTGGTGGATGTTCAAATACTTTTATTGATCTAGTGACCAGTCGGAAGGAGATATAAAAAATACTGTGTTAGTATTTTCATCGATATTCAATATTAGCGATTGTAATATTATCGATAACGTACATCTTTTAAATACAACTTATGATTAAAAATTATAACATTTAAAGTAAATTGTCTTGGTGACAATTGCATAACATATTGATCATAATCTAAAGTACCATTGCGTTGTGTCTAGCATAACGTTTAAAATATTAACCTAAAATCAATCGTTTTCAATACTAATAACTATTATTATTGAGATTGTTGAAAACCAAACTTATTACTCACAGAATGGTGATTATAATATATCCAACCATTTAACTTAAGAATTACAAATAATGTAGTACTATGTAATATTAACAAAAAATCAAGAGAAATAAAAACATAGATGCTTACCTAGGGCCCGTTCGAGCCAAAAACGCCAACCATATTCCGTTTATTTCACCGGGTAATCGCGCTGAGCACTCAGCGGGTGGTCGACCGTTCGAGCAAGTTTTAGCTCACGGTAAATACGTGTAACGACACTACTCCGGAAGAAAATTTCAACTTATCCCATGGTCAACAACCCATTCTTTGTTTACTTGCTACTGCTGCTATAACCGGCCCACGTACACACAGCGCGGCACGGTGGCACGATAATGTAGCTCAATAATTTATATTGGCTGCTTTAAAATCTGTACGTAGGCTAGTTTATTCAAGTTTATTTCTCCGAATAATGGTAAATCTACAAATCAATCGCGTAGCTTAGCTATATGCTACTAAATTTAGACTTCGTCGTGCATTTGTGAGGAGGCGAAGGAGAGCTGCAACCACGCCTGGGCCGTTAAACCTATTGAATTTGGCGCTAGTTTGTGGGCAAAACTTTTGGAAAAACAATTAAGGTTGATTTATCATCGCCTCCGGCTCCATAGTCATTCCATGAATGTAGGTAAGAATGGCGCCGGAAAAAATGGCCCCGGAAAAAATGGCCCCGGAAATAATGGCCCCGGAAAAAATGGCCCCGGTAAAAATGGCCCCATATGACAGGTAGGTAAAAATGGCCCCAATGAAAAATTCGGTAATAGAAATTGATTTTCTTGAGTCATTATATGCATTTTTTTATCTTAACTAAT